AGTGTGATACTTTGAGGATATTTATTTAGCAAAATGTAATTTTACTATATATTCACCCTTATTTACTATATATTCACCCTCGTTAGGGGAATTGACGGTGACAAGTGTTTCAAAGCAGAAATCTTTTTATGCTTATTTTTTTACTATTTAATGAGATTTTAGGTATATTTTAACAACTGGGGTTTCCCTGATGAATCATTAAAATAAGTGAGTGGGTTGGAAGGTAATGCTAACTTTTCTCAGTGCTGCCCTGTTTTACCCTGCTGGGTTATTCATTGCTTTTAAAATAGAACCGGTGTGTTGGAGTTGGTGGGTGGAGGTGCCGAAGGGAAGGGGTCAGTAAGAAAATACCAGGTAAACCTCTGATGACCTATTGGGAAGTCCTACTCAAATTTTATTTTCCCCAACTTAGAGCATTTAGTGTTTAAGTTCACTGGTTTTGTTGTTGTTGTTGTTTTGTTTTGTTTGCTCTGCCAAACTTAACTTTTTAAATATTGTATATAGGCAAGTAGAAAATATATTTTCAGCAATTGATTGAAGGTTAAGGTAGCAAGCCCTGTGTGGATTAGCCTGTGGAATCAATTTCTCATGTGTGTGGGATTAAAACCGTTAAAACCATCATCACTGAAACCATACCTTCCTACAGCTAATAGCAGTAAGGTGTCTGTGGAATATATTAATACAACAATTCCTCTGATTTAAAATTATTACCTGGTATTTGGTTGGAAAATTATTTGAATATTATAAGTAACTGAATTGACATCATATACGAGGACTAATTACAGGTTTCTAATGTGACTTAGGTTTAGTTTTTTTAAAAAATTCACATGATCTATTTATACTTAGCACATTGTTTTCAATAAGTCAATGGCATATTGCAAATTTCTTTTATACTGTTAAAAAAAAACACCTACAACAGCAGTTCTGTTAGAGGAGGTAGAACAAAATGTAGTTCACCTTGAAAATGGCTCAGGGAATAAAGAAATTGGGTCAAGCTTAAAATAAATGCAGGTACAGTGACGAAAAGTTTTAATAAAAATTTAAAAATATTCACAGCCTTGGTTTCAGGCAACTTTTGTTCTTGGTGATCTTATCAATGCATTATTAGTTTTTAATTGAGATGACACTAATGGCACTTTTTTCATTTTGGTCAAAATGTTTATGTGAAACATTTTTGTGATTTTTCCCTTTGTGTCCTCTTTTAATTGTAAATATAAAGTTTTGGAAAGGCAGACAGTTCTTAAATCATTTGACCTCTCGTGATCTTAAGTAGAATTTGAAGTGGTTTAAAATTCCTGTGTCATAGCTATCATTTTGACTCATTTATATTGCTAATTTAATGTTTAGCATTTAACCATGTATCATTAAATCATAGTATTGATAATGAATTAAACTTTCATAAAGCTTTAATAGTATAGTAGATTCTCATTCATTTACTGTCACTGGGGAATAAAATATGCTGAAGAAATGAGTTTTTTTTTTTTTTTTTTTTAACTGAAGCTTACTGGGTTAAGCAGAAAAACTTAAAAGTTGATAAAATTTTATCTGACATACTTTGTATGCTCTTTCTGGGAGCAAGAATGGATTGGCCATTAACTTTTTTTAAACTTTTTTCTTAATGTCATAAAACATTAACATTCTAGTGTTCTGCGGAAAGGACATGGGCTTTCTGATTAGTATTTGTTGCCTCTAATAAGAAGGTTTTTTGTTGTTTTTTTCTTTGAAACAAGTGCCACACCCCTCATTGATATACTCACTCAGTGATTAACCCAGGCACGCACTTAAGATCTTTGGCTATGGCTCACCTACCATCTTCTGGCAAACACCTGGCCACAGCGTCGGGCTGTAAAGAAGACCTCTTCCTTGCTTAGAAGTAAGCGTTCTCAGTGTTCAGAATTGCTGCTCAAGCACTCACTCCCTATCACTTCCTAGCAGCCATTGATAGTGGTCCCTGATGTCTGTATTCACCCGTGCTCCTGAGCATCTGTGGTGTCAAAGTGACCACCTGCCATCTTCTGGGATTATTGCTAAAATGAGCAAATGGCACATTCCCTTTATCTTTTAGCAAATTTTAGCATAGCAGCAAAAATTCTTTTTAACAAAGTGTTGTGTTTTTTTGTTTTTTTTTTTTTAACCTGATACTTGTTTGTTTCAAGCAGTGTTTTCTAAAAACTAAAGCACAGTAAGAGTATTTGCACTGTTCTTTAATGTGCTATAATGACATTTGGTTTGAATTTTATATTTAAAAATCAGCTTCCTCTCTTTTGCTTGCACCTAATGGGAATCATCTTTCTTCCAGGTTGCGCTTGAAGAAGACTATAGGGAAGAATCCATTTTCTTCTTGCCACAAAAGTTGCAATAGAAGTAAGTAGGGAACTGCCAGGTTATGTCTGTCTCCACAAAACAAGCAGAACAAATTTCCATGAATCAAAGCCACTAAGTATAGTTTTCAGAGATGGTAGGACATAGTTACTCTCCCTAGGAAAATACCAAAAACGCAGGCACACCCATTGGCCACTAGAAAAATGCTCAAGTAAATGCTAGTTCAAACCTGTACATTTCACTCTTCTTACTGAGCTATTAAAGGGGTGGAAATCTACTATAGCTATAATCTTTTTTTCCCCTTTTCTATTTTTCGACCTCCCACATGCTTGGTGTTCAGTTCTGCTTACTGAATGTCTTGAATCTACAGCAGCACCTACACATACTGCCTCCACATTGGCTTATGGTTTGCAGATAACTCATGATTCAGACCCATAAGTAACATCTGTAAATACATGGCATGATATGTGCTCTAGATTAATCATTTAAAAGGGCAAAGGAATGAAGAATCAGAAAGCTTTTTTTCCCTTCTAATATTGGTGTTGCTTTCTTTGAGGTTATATGAATGAAATATTCTTTAGAGTGGTTTAGATCACATCCTATCACTTCGGGAAATACAGCAACCTTTTAAGGATATATAAGGCATATACACCTTGTCATGATTAGACCAGAGGAAATAAACCAAGATAGAGACAACTGTGATGTGATCTAGTTGTCTAGATCTAGTAAACAAACTGTTAACTGCTTTTAGTCTGTCTTGAAACCTTTGGTAGAACTTGCAAAATTGCCTTATGTTGGTCTCTCAGTTGACTTTCTAAAAGTTTCCATTGTTTGAAGGATTACAGGCTACCATTTTGTGAAACTGATCTTATTGAACCTTGTGTTTATTAGAGGTGATCTTTAACTGGCGTGAAAAAAGCCAAGCCAGTGCATGGCTCAGCCCCTAAGCTTACTTCTTCCCAGGTACCTGTGAGGCTCTCAAATTCTTATTGGAAATGCAAACTGCTAATGAGGAATGGGTAAAACCCACCACACTTCCCACCAGTCCTTGGTTGAGAGGGGGCTGTGACTGAAAATTACTGATTTTCAAATGCAGGAGGATACAAATATATCCTTTCCCTTATGTAAGGTGATTTATACTGAAAATGGGAGGGCAAAATATCTTACTACTGTTTGTTAGTTATTAGGCTTCAGTTTTATCTTCACAACACACCTCTGAGGTTAGTATTGTTACCCTCATTTTACAGAAGGCGAGACTTGAGTCCTACAAAGTTAGGTAACTTGTCCAAGAGTACACAGCTAGGAAGTGACACTGCTGAGCCTCAGACTTCTATCTCCCTGACCCCAGTTCATGCCTTTCCCAGCTGAGGAACACTGCTTCTTATTTTGTAGAGAAATGAAATATGTACTTGTATGTTTTTTTTCTTTAAAAATGCTCATTGGAGGGGCGCCTCTGTGGCTCAGTGGGTTAAAGCCTCTGCCTTCGGCCCGGGTCGTGATCCCAGGGTCCTGGGATTGAGCCCTATATCGGGCTCTCTGCTCAGTGGGGAGCCTGCTTCCCTCCCTCTCTCTGCCCGCCTCTCTGCCTACTTGTGATCTCTGTCAAATAAATAAATAAAATCTTTAAAATATATATAAAAATGCTCATTGGAAATTCAGACATCAAGAACTTTTTTCATTCCAGCCATATCTTTGAGAACCATTTGAAACTTTCTCCTTTGAAATGCAGTTTAAATAGGCATTGATTTGAACAAGGTGAAGTGCAGTTTTACTAGTAAAAAGCATCATTAAGGGCATCTGGGTGGCTCAGTTGGTCAAGTGTCCAACTCTTGGTTTTGGGTCAGGTCATGATCTTAGGGTCATGAGATCGAGCCTCACATTGGGCTTTGCGCTCAGCATGAGTCTGCTTGAGATTGTCTACCTCTCCCTCTCCATCTGCTCCTACCCTGGCTTGCACTCTGTCTCTCTCTAAAATAAATAAAATCTTTTTAAAAAAAGCATCATTGAGTTGTTGAGACTAATAATTTTGTGGAACAGCATTATTAAGAACAATATGCTGTTTAATGAGGTATTTACTTGAGTCATAAAGGAAAATTCAAACATATGGAATATTTTTTAAACAATGTAGCATTTATGTACAGAGTGATGTTTCTTCCTTACTTCTTACAGGAAATAGCATGTAATTTGAAATGTATATGGATTTTTTTTTACATTTACACATACATTTTTATTTCACTGAGCACATTAACAAAAGTCATATTATTAAACCAAAAAATTGCTTATATAGCTAACTTGCTGAGATGAAACATTTACCATGCCTTTTTTTTTTTTTTAAGACTTTATTTATTTATTTGAGAGAGAGAGTGAGAGAGTGAGAGCATGAGAGGAGAGGAGGAGGAGCTGGGTTGGGCAGAGGGAGAGGGAGAAGCAGTCTCCCTGCTGAGCAAGGAGCCCAATGAGGGACTCATTCCTAGGACCCTAAGATCATGACCTAAGCCAAAGGCAGTTGCCCCACCAACCGAGCCACCCAGCACCCTACCATGTCTTTAATAAAACATTACTTTATCTCTCTTAATGGGATTGTTGTTTAAAGAAAGGTTGTGGAAACCTTGCTGGTTCATAGGCATATAGCTTTACCCCTCTTTTTGGGTTTTCCTTTGCAGGTGGGAAATTGGTGATAATGGGGAGGTGGTCAAGGTATGTGCAGTGTCTCAAGAAATTGTATCCTAAGATTTTTAACATTAGAGGTTTGAGATTTAAATATGAATGTGCTTTCTTTCTACATATGGAGTCTCTGGGGCAGGGATAGCTGGTGAATTTAAAGATGAATGAATGTCACACTTAGAGAATCAGAGAATTCTAAACTGGATAGGGTCTTACAAACAAAGGGCTCTTGGAGTGGAAGTCTTAGGAGATGAGTTCAGTGACTGTCTGAGAGTAGGAGAGCTCCAGGCCAAGCCACTCCCTGGTTACTGAGTCTGGGTCCCAGCCATTCCAACCAGGAAGTGAATGATCACAGCAGGGGAGGGCTTTAAACTTCCTGGGGCTGGAGAAAAAAAACCTGAGTCATTGTGGAAGTAATCTTATGGCAAGAAGAAAACAGAAATTCGAAAAATAAGCGTCCTTTATTTCCTCTTGTTAACACAAATGATGGAAAATGCTGATTACAAAAATATAAACCCTAAGTGTTGGTACTTTTTAAAAAAAAGTGGGACGTAGCATATTTTTAAAAAATTAAGCGTCTGTAAATTATTTGCTTTCTGAGTGTAATATTTTAAGTTATTTTTAAAAGTCTTGATGCACACACACATACATACATATGTTGGAAAAATATTGTTTTGCTTATGATTTAGAATCTGTGAAGGCTTGAAAGGGCCCATGAGTCTTCTCATCATTGAGGCATTCTATGGAGGGTCCCATAAACAGCTGGTGGATCTGCTCCAAGAAGAGTTAGAAGACTGTGTCCTTTATACCCTGCCTGCAAAGAAATGGCATTGGAGAGCACGGACGTCGGCTTTATACTTCTCCCAGAATATTCCCATCAGTGAGCAGTACAGGTAATTGGAGCTCGGACTGCACCTTCAGTCTGTTTTTACTGTACGTGGTATAAGGATGTTGCTTCTGTTGGCATCTATGAGATTTTCGCCAGCCGTGGAATTGGTCAGTATGGCTACAATAGACCCAGCAGAGCAGGAGAGTTCATTTACACTCTGAGGACAGCTGGCTGGTAGAACAGTGGTCCCTTTAGAACCTAAAAACCTTTTCTCATCTGTCTTGTGATGGTATCACATGCATGTGTGTGGGTGTGGATGACATTTTTGGCCTCAGAGGAGAGTTGATTTTGGGCACGTTTTTTGTTGGTGGTGTTCCATATCCTCCAGTGTCTCTTGTAGTGAGTGTGCTGTTTTCGGTTAATTTATTGTGTCTGCTCTGTACTAGGAGCTAAGGCTGAAAAGGCAGATGTGACCACGATCTGTGCCCTTAAAGCTTTAAAGACTACTGAGGTAGAGATGGACTTGCAGGTGCAAAGTGAGCGTGAAAAATGGAGGAATTAATTTTGACTGTGACAAAGTGGAGGTGGCTTTCTAGAGCTGGTCAACCTTTGCTTGGTCTTCAGGGATGAATAGATTTGGGGCACGTAGGACTCAGTTCTGAATTCTAATCAGTTAGGAAGTGGGAACTAGGGGTACCCAGTAGAGATTCTTTTGGGACTAGAAAGATGAATGAGAAATAGTGATGACGTTTGATGGGGAACAAGTAGAATACTGAACATCCTGATCTTTTTATTCTCTGTTGGCATATACTATCTTGTGTCTCCTGCTTGGTAAACAGTGGGAGATTATCCTCCAGTGTTTTATAGATCTGCTCTTCTTTTCATTCTGGGCCCTTCCGTGTAGAACGGCATTGGTGTAAGCAGCACTATTAATAATGGATAGGGGAGACAGATTGTTGGAGACAGGGCACGTTGTGGGCTGCCGTGCTCACCATGCCTTCAGCAGCTGCATCTATCTGTTGCTGCTTGTAAGGTGGAACAGTCACAAGGGAGACAGTAGCTTGGGATTTAAATGTAGGTTACTGTTCTTTGGAGTAATAAGGGGGATTCAGAGAATAACCCATTTCGTGTATGAAAACCATGCATCATGTCTGAGCATTCAGATGGTCAGGTGGATTAGCAGTGAGCACTCGAGTCACTTTGCTTGGGATTATAAAGGTAAAATTCTGTTTGGGGACATATTAAGAATTTATTTTTCTAATCAAAAGCGTATTTTCCCTTCCATAATTTAATGTTTTATATTCTGATATCACTAAGTGAATATGATTAATGGATAGTATTAGAAATTTCAATGAGTATATCAATATAAAAGTTCTAAGGGCAATGATAAGACTGTTGCTGTGTTATAATATGACTGCTTATAGTTGCTTTCACATCTCATTTAACTGTATCATGGCACCAAATGTATTGTCTTACTTAGGGTCAAGTGATCCCGTTGACTTTATGACACGTTTTCATTTAATGTTATTTGATATAATGCATTTCTACAATGACTTGAACATTGAAACGAGCCATTTCTCTATCTGCTGTTAGATTTCATTTTGATTAGGCAGTTTTTCAGCATGAAATTGTTGTGTCACAAACGTATGTGTGTGGAGAGTGTGTGTGCAAACCCTCCTGTGCAATGGCTTCTCCACTGCCTGTGAGGCCCGAAGCAATGAGGATCAACATCACAGCGCTCGCTGAAGCAGTCTTCCTGGGGAGGTGGATTGCTGCAAGATTGTGCTGTAAAGGTTTACTCTCTGATAGTCACAACCTACAGGGCCCAGCAGTGGTATCTAAGATCTTTCAAGGTCGGTCATCTAAGCTGTGCAGATTAATCTAATCAGACTTCACTAAAAGATATACCTCACCAGTTGAACCAGAGTTCTATTTGACCAGTGATAACTTATCTACTCTTTTGGAATACTTTTGGAAAAGTAGCAACAGCTTGAAAACTTACACTGAGTTAAAAAAATATGCTCACTCAACCCCACATTGAAGTGTAAGAAAAGTCTTTTGCTATAGCAGATAAATCTGATCTCCGTGGAGACTTCTAAAGATATGAAGAGTTTTTGCCTCTTAGTTAGTTAACTCTCTTTGTACACTTGGGAGATGAAGTCATCACAATTCAGAAAGCACCAGTATTACATACTATGCAAAATTACTTGGAACAGGTAGGGACTGTGTCTAATGAAAGAGACCCTGAACATAGGTACACACATTATTTTTTTCAGCTTCTGTACATACAGTCATTATTGTCTTGAGCTTATTATGCAGAAAATATTTTATTACTAACAGAATAAATGCTTTAGCCTGATTACTCAGTTTGATTCTGCTTTATCTTGGTAGCTAGAAGAATACATCATGGGTCACATTTGGAGCTATTTAATTTTATCATAGATTACAAAAGCTCCACGGGTTATTTTTCCCAAAAGTAGTTGGTAATGATTGTTCCTGAGGTTATATTAAAATTTTCCCTTCTGGAAACCACAAAATGCAGAAAAATGTCTCGAGGATAAGCCTTAAATTTCATATTCTGAAATGTATGAGTCCTTTGTCCCAAGATTAGCACTTTGACTTTCTTAGATATACCTAGAGTAGGCATCAAAGATATTTCACTCATTTTTTTTTCTTTCCTGAGCTGAGACAATCACTGTTACGTAAAATCATTTTTTTCACTCTCAGCAGCTTGCAATTATATTTTTCATTCCATCCGAGGTACTGTAGCAGATTCTGATCATTGGCCACTTAACAGCCCTTCTTCCTTGTTAACAGAATCACACTTGTCTTTGGAGTGGCTAAGTACCCAGCCCCTGGGAGTGAAGCATGATTGACCTGAGTTGGTCATTATGATCCCATTCTCTGCCCAATTTTCCCAGCTTTCCTTGCAGTTAGTGCTGGTTAGTGACTAGGTTTTGGCAAATTAGACTTAAGTGGATGACTTCTGGGGGTTCTTCCAACAAAGTTTGTTTTGTTTTGTTTTTAGTTATGAAAGGAGGAAGCCATTTTTGTTCCACAACCATGACATGACAGGACGAGGACAAATTGCCTGGGCTGCCAAAAATGGCTGATGGAAGGCTGGAAAGAGCCTGGATTTGACTTCTATTTTGGGCAATAGAGCTACCTAGTCACCTGAAAACCTCTCACCTCTAGAAATGATTCATAAAGTGTAACAACTTTCCTTTAAGTCCATAGCTAAGCAAAGTAAGAGAGGATCTGAAGAAGGATCTGGAAATTAGAATGGTAGCTGGCCTTGAAGCTCTGGCTGCCTATTTTCATAAAGGGGACCAGTTAACTTAGGTGACATTCTGAAATGAAATATTGTACAGCTTTGACCTGAATTAGGAAGATTTCTGTGTGCTCTCATGGGAACCTCTCCAAGACATTTTCAGTGACAGAAACTAAGGTGCTAGACAATGTTATTGGTATAGAGAAAGGAGGTGATGGGAACAGAGCAATGGAAGAGTGCACTGGAGATGAATAAGAACTGGTATGAAGATCAGCATGGCAGAGGAGGTCAGTACCCACCCGTATCCCTCTGACCTTCCCTTTCACGGCACCCTGGCCAGCTTCCCATGCCCGCGGGTGCAGCTCTTTGCCTGAGGGAGCAGCTGCTCTGCCCTGCACACAGCGGGCTGTGAGCAGCCCTCCACCAATGATCTTCGCCTCTCGGATGAAATCATTCTGGTGTGTGTGCAGGAAAGGAATAGTTAGCAAAGATTCCTTAAAAACCCTGTAAGTCAGGGGCGCCTGGGTGGCTCAGTGGGTTAAGCCGCTGCCTTCGGCTCAGGTCATGATCTCAGGGTCCTGGGATCGAGTCCCGCATCGGGCTCTCTGCTCAGCAGGGAGCCTGCTTCCCCCTCTCTCTCTCTCTCTCTCTGCCTGCCTCTCTGTCTACTTGTGATCTCTCTTCTGTCAAAAAAATAAATAAAATCTTTAAAAAAAAAAAAAAAAGAAAGAAAAACCCTGTAAGTCAGAAAATGTACAAGCATAATTCTAAATAACTCCTGGGTCACAGGAGAAATCACAGCAGATAATAAAAAATAGGACTGAATCATAATGAGCATATTGTATATCACAATGCAGGTTGTATCTAAATTGACCGTCACAGCCACATCATCTTTAATAAATTTATTTTTATTATTTTTTACTTATGATATGCAGGCCCTCTAAAGCTTGTGACCCAGAGTAAGGACCCTCTTACTTGAATCTAGGAGTAGTATTGGAAAGGAAGGAGTAAAAAGAGTGAAAAATAGTGAAGTTGAAAGCAAATGAAAGTGGAGATGAAGAAACTAAGAGTTACTTTGAGATAATAAAATAGATAAACACAGGCATGATTTTTTTAAATTTATTTTTTTAAGGCACAAATAAGTTTTGGAATTATGTAGCTGTAGACCTGTGGATATGGTACAGATCAATAAAAAGGGGAAATGCTCTTAATAGTTTTATGTCAATAGAGATGAAACCTTAGACAAAAGAGGGAATTTCTTAGAGAAACATAACTTACAAAACCTCACTTAAAATGAAACAGAGGGGTGCCTGGGTGGCTCAGCAGTTAAGCATCTGCCTTTGGCTCAGGTCATGATCCCAGGGTCCTGGGATCAAGTCGCACACAGGGATCCTTGCTCAGCAGGGATCCTGCTTCTCTCTCTGCCTGCCACTCCCCTTGCTGTGCTCTCTTTCTCTCTGTCCAAAAAAAAAAAAAAAAAAAAAATCTTTAAAAAAAGTGAAATAGAAAGCCTGAATGGAATTATAGTGATTAAAGGTCATGCATTAGCTAAAAATTTGCCTTCTACAAGACTGAGGCTGGGTGCCTGAGCAGGGTTGGTTCACGGCACTGGGACCTCCTTGCCTCTTTTGAAACTTGTGTTACATGAGATTGAGTCCCTGGTGTTCTAGGTTTTCTGTTTCTTGTACCCACACAAGTCCTAACTGTTAATAAATGCTGATTATCGTTATGATACCTTTTACTTCTCCACCCAGCCCCCCATTTCTCCCCCCACCCCCCCCCCCCCCCCCCGC